TTAACATTACATGCACAGGTCTAGCTCTACCCTTAAGTTTTCTTACATCTGCTTGCACAGCATTGCCTTTCTCCATTCCTAGTTCAATGCAAAACATGACTTACCATTTCATCTAAACCAGCACACAGTATTGTGGCTTGTTCTTCCCTCGCAACCCAGGAGAATAAACTAAAGTGCAGTATTTATATCCCAAACCACACCTTAAATTATGTTACCATTTGAAAATTTTGTTCTGTTCAGTAAGCAAGGACTGGTTCAGTGTCCTTAAACATGGACTTCAAATTGAGTATTAACATGAACAAGACAGCTTGAGTAACTGCGTAGTCTGTCTACTTCTTCTGTCTACACCCATGACAGAAAAACCACTGCACTCAGGTGATGCAACTGCACACTTCTTTGAAAGAATCATGTTTCCCCCACTCATTTCCCTTTATATTTGCAAAGGACGCCACAGTCTGGCAAGGAAGAAATATTTCAGCTATCCAGCTAGCCCATTGCAGAAATGCAAAACACTCCTTAACCTTCATGTCACTTCTCTTTTGTATTCCCAGGTCTGTATATGGAAACCCAACTGATTGTCTCCACCCCTGCAGGCACATTACCACATATCCCCTAAGTAACTAAAGCAGTCTCAGTCCCATTTCCTAACAAACTATTTAAAAAAAAATCACACCCAGTACATTTTCATTCTTTTTGTTGAGGTACTCATTTTATAAGTGCCAGTCACTATATAGATATAGATATATATTTACAACCCTTAATACTAAACTGATAGCATGTGGGAAATACAAATGCACATCTCACGTACACACATTTATCCCCCTACTCCCATTTCATATAATCTCACAATCTCTAGCCATGTCTCTTCACTACAGTGATGAAATGGAATAGAGTCTGTAGTGAGTAATTAATTGTATTGTAACTTACCACACTTGGAACTGGGGAAAGCAAGTGTGATGCTTCAATCCCTCTGGGGAGAGAAGTATTTCTGGAGCGCTCTCTTTTAAGAATCCTCAGGTCCTCTCCACACCTTCTGGGTCTTCCAGAGTGGTCTGGCCGCAGAGACTCCAAGAGAAGAAAGGTGGCATGTGAACTGTATTCTTCTGGTACCCCAATTGACCAAGGGCCAACACAGATACCCTGGAGACTGAAGCAATCTGGTGAGGGAGATTAGTACTTTTGCTCCTTCCAAAGAAGGGTTGATTGAAAAAAACAAGTAATATCTGAAGTAATGAAAAGTCAAAGTCAAATCGCATGCATTTCTGATCCCTCAGAAGTGGGCCTCTGAAAAGGCTGCAACTGGCATCACCAATACCTAGGTGGGTGGAAATAAAAAGAGAATTACGGCACTTAAGACCCATCTGATTTTAAAAAAACACATAGTAAAGCACAGCAAAGACATTTGTCTTTTTAAAAATTTAAATTACTAATGAATTATGCTTTAGTAAGGCAAATGCTTTAACTAAGGCAAACGGGCATTCTACATTCTAAGCCAACCTCAAGAGGAAAAGAAAGTAGCCAAGGCTTCATCTGCACTACAGAAATAATCTAGATTGACTCACTTTAACTGTCATGGCCCCATACTATGGAATTCTGGGACTGAAGTTTGTAGCAGCACCAGACATCTCTCACAGAAGCAGCTAAATCTCTCACAAAACTACAATTCCCATAATTCCATAGCATTGGGACATGGAAGTTAAACTGATATCAAATTGGATTATTTCTGCAGTGTGGATGCAGCTAAAGCAGCATCAAACTGCATTATTTTTACAGTGCAAATGGAGCCATACACGTATATTGAGCCATGGCAGTTACAGTGGGGTCAACCTGGATAATTTCTGCAGTGCAGATGCAGGCTAAATACAACTTTTAGAAGTGTTGAAACAAACACATTAGGAAAGTGAATGAGAGGGAAGGAAATTTATGATTCAGTCCAGTCTGATGTCACATTAATTGCCCTGGCTCAATGAGAGCGAATCCTGAGGATTGTAGTTTATTGTGGCACCAAAGTTCTCTGACAGAGAAGGCTCTATGGGGGGTTGCAGACTGCCAGAAATAGTGCAAATTGAGTCCA